AATATTGAATGATAATATAAATATATTATATGTATTTTTACTACCATAAATTGTGCTGCATACCTGGAGCTGCGCTTCAATTGCAATGCAGTTTCAATGCGCTGAATATTTGAATAAGTAGAGTAAGATTGTTCTAGAAAATTAACTACTACAATTAATAATTAAAGACCTTTTTTTAATAAAATGTCAAACTTATTTAATAAATAATAATAATAAACGGAATATATAAACACATAAATATATTGTCCTTTTTTTTAGCCTAAATTGTATATTATGAAATTAATAATGCTTAAATATTATATACATTATTTTCATACCCAGGTAGCTCTATTTTAGCTATACCTAAATATATAGCAATGTAATCAATTCAGGTCAAGTTTTAGACTTATCCTATTGTTAAGGGTTAATCAAGGTATATTATAAAATTGTATATAAACTTTAACTAAATAGGAAACTCACTTTACAATTTCACATATATCACGATAATTATAATTTCAACTTCCTTTTAGCTATGTCAAACATTATACCCAAATATATATACATACATATATAGCCGAATTCAACCACCTTTTGTGAGCCAAGAGCCAACCGAAAGGCGTCTGGCCCAGTCGCAGTTGCTTGGCTGTGCTGTGCCTTGTCACACGGTTTCCGTGTTGGACATGTCGAGCAGGAAGACGCAGAGGAGGCGAAGAAGGTGGCAAGGCAGGAATAGCAACAGCAACAGCAGCAGCAGCAGCAGAGTACCGGAGGAGTATGGCGATGATAACGAAATCGTTTTTAGCTTTGGGGTAGTGGAGCAGCCAGCGAGTGGGGCGCGTCGCTGATGTCGTGTTGGGCGCAAACTGTACCGAAAGTGCGCACAGAAGGGAGCACGAGAGCAGGCGGACAGGCGGACAGACGGACGACCACTAGACCAAGCCAGAGCCGCAGCCAGAGCCGCAGCCAGCCAGCCAGGCCCAGACAGTGGTAGAAAGAGAAACCAACTGCGACTTATGGCCCAGGATGTGTTTTTGGCCAAAGCTGTAGCTGTCAGCATTTATTTCGAGGGTTGCACTCCAGGCCGGAAAATGCGAATTAAAATAACTGAAAAACACAAAAGAAGCAGCATATGCAAAAAAATAAAATAAAAATAAAATAAGAGAAGAGCGATAAAGAAAGAGAAAAAACGAACGCATTGAGAAGACGTCTGTGTGCGGTTCAATGACCAAATGCCGACGATGCTAACGTGGTCCGCACCTACCCAAAGCTCAAATGTGACTAGAGAAAATTCTCGTGGCAGCAAACGAGTTGCAAGGTCGATGAACGCTGTTACAGTTGCAGTTGCAGTTGCAACCAAAGCGCAGTTGCAGCCAAAGCGCAGTTAATATCTAGGCCCAAAACACGTTTTTCGGGCTTGCCGCACAATTGTTTAGATCGGATTTGCAAGCGTCTGGCAACGCTAATCAATCATAATTAGAATGAAGCTATGATATCTATGGCTTAAGCAATCAATAAGAATCGGTATCCAGTATTTTAACTTTCTGGCAACACTAGTCATAGATTATATCAAGTTCATAAATGCTATCCACAAAAAAATAGATATGTATATATTTTAGTTCTTCGTTAATAGGAGCTACTTCTGTATTTGTAATTATCTGGCAACGCCATTAGCTTAGTTAAGGTAAACAAAAATATTAAAGCTGCTTATCAAACGACTTTCTGCAGCCAGAAATGATATTTTTTCTATATATTCAAAGTAGTGGCATCTTTATCTAACAAAACATCAATCAATCAAAGCTTGTGAATGTCTGGCAGCGCCAAGTGAATTCGACATTTCAAGCTCTTACTTCTGCTGTCCGTCTGCTTCCAAATTTTCAAATATTTGGCAACGCCAAAGCTGATACTCAAATAGAAATACATTTCCAAATTTTGAGCTATCTGGCAATGCCAAAACGAGCAATCAATCAGAAGCTCTCTGATTGAAGCTGTTTGTAAAAGTTGCTTACATAAATTATAGTCAGCTAAAACTGATTTGTCACTAAAATTTGCAAGTATCTGGCAACGCTGGAGCTGTTAGAACATCAAAACTCTTCGCAATTTCTAGTTTATTCTAAAGTTCTCAATGTCTGCCAATGCCAAAGCTGTTCAAAAATATTTCAAATTCTGTGTTTTCAAATTTCCAGATATCTGGCAACTCTGCATAAGTTGCATGCCCACAAAACTCAATTGTTATTAACAATTATTTGCTTTCCATACGATGATATATGATTCTCAGTTCTGATAGCCTTTGTTGCAAGCTCCATTCAATCGCGGTCACTGCAGCTGCACTCACAGCCGCCGCGCCACACGGCGCATGCGCCGTTGGTAGCGCTGCCTAGCATAGGATAATGGCCTCTGGTAACGCTCGCTGATGTTATAATCGTTGGCGTCGCTGGTGCCGCCAAACGAGGCACTCACTGCACAAAGGCGACGCCCAGCACTCGCCCCACTCTCACTTGCCTCGCGCTGCAGGCATTGACACGGACTGTGCCGCTGCCTCCGCCYCAGCCTCTGCTTGCAATGGCAATGGCAATGGCCATGGCCATGATATGGGTACTATCTGGAGTACTCTATATGCTACTATCGCGTTCACTTTGTGCCACACACGAATTCACCTTGCCTGACCCAACTATTTGCATGCAATTGTAAGCTGTCTATTGAAGAAGAGTGGTGTGGGTAGTCGATGCAAAGATACTCTGTAATTAGCAAAAGCTATGGGAAATGTGTACTTTTGTCGTGGAGATATTTTATGTAATTTTACCATTAGAATTATGTAGAATTATTAAGAGGTATGATGTGATAACACTTCTGTTAATAACTGATCTCTAAAATTTAACTTATGTGAACTAATATTTCCTTAACAGTCAACGATTACTCGACATAAATGTAGTTATTCTAGAATTAGCTTAATAAAACAGTCACAGCCTAATGTTTTTCCTATACAATACATAAAAAAAAATAAAATTAAAATTAAAAATTATACCCTATAAACTTAACATAAAATTTGTAAAAATAAAACCTACCGATAGTAATTTTTTTTAGTTTTATTTAACAAAATTTTTACAATAGCCTCTATATGTATATATCAAATTCAAATATAGTTTTCCCATATACATATATTTAAAATTTTGAAAATGAAAAACTGCTAACACACATATATACATAAATTCTGAATTGGAGCTAATTTGAAATGATTAACAAAAGACAAATTATTGAACTAAATTTCAAATTTTTCCTTTTTCTGGTTTTTCTTCTTTTTTGTCATTTTCTACTCTCCTTTCTGCACCGAAGATCGTTAAGATTTGCTAGAAGAGATTGGAATTGGGTCATTAAAGTCCCAGCGCGAATCGTATGTAAAGGTATCGGAATCGACATCGGCATCGCCATCGACATCGCCATCGACATCGCCATCGCCATCTACATCGCCATCTTGTGGAACTTCCATTGGATCTGATGGCAAAGCGGAGAATTCTTCATCTGTCGGCTCAGCCTCCATTGGCTTCTGGGCAGTGGACCTACGTTTGAGGCAAATGCGACAAGGCTTGGGTGCTAATACGGTTTGGTGACCCACACTTCGATAGGCGCCACTCTTGGCCCTAGGCCCAGGACGGGTGGTGCGAGACGTGGTATTACGTTTACTGACCGAAGGCTTTTTCTTGGCAACCTTTGTACCGGAACTCTAATAGAAGCAGTTCCTGGTAAACATCCATTTATATACATCCATCTATCTATGTCTACTCACCCCAAGTCCTCGACCTGTGCTGAGCCACGGAATCGCGCTCGTGCCGTCCTCAAACACGAGCGCTTGACGCAGCGCATAGTCCGAGTGACCGGTGCGAACCAGAACTCCCAGATGGGTGAGACTGCACAGACTCTTCAGCACACAGTCCTCGATATTATCCATTTTCTTGCTGCGACGCATCTGAAATTCCACCTGCCTGACGATGCTGTAAGCCGGCACAAAAGCTGTCAGCGAATGTGCGCCCTGGAGAATGCCTAGAGCCTTCAGTACATTTCGATTGATCTTCTTTGGCACATGAAAATTATCCATTTCGTATATGAATATATATGTGTATGAATATATATGTACGTATATGAAGAGAGTTCCTAAAATGATATATTTTTTTTATTATGTTACTTTTCGATATTTAGAGTTCTATGGTTGTACAAGTTGTGATCTCTGAGTTCGTTTCACGTTTTACCTCAAGCGAAAGGCAAAGACTACTTGGGTTATCGAAAACTTATTCATACAGTAGTTGAAAATATTATATGTATATTAAAATATGCAATATGAAAAAATAAATAAATACAAAAAATTAAATTAAATATACCTATGTAAATCTGAAGTAATATTATAATATAATAAAAAACTTTTTATTTTTTAGTTTTATACAAAATTCTGTTTACAAATATATTTCATATTCAAATACAAAAATTGTATTTATATTTATAGATTTTTGTATAAATATACTATTATTTCTAATACTTCAATTTCATAGCTCTTCATACCTCTATTTTTCCTGTTCATCTCGTATGAGTGCGCCCTTAGACAATTTCACTTAATGATGAAAAGTGCATCACAATTAAAATGAAAATCAACGAAAAGCGAAAACTTTCTACATATACATAAGCAGGAACACACAGAGAGCGAGAGCGAGAGAGAGCTACACACACACACACATAGACAGAATAGAACAATAACAGACTAACCTATTGTAAAGTGGGGAATATATAAATGCAAACACACAAATACATGCATGTGTGTGTGTATTATGCACATATAAAATTTACTGTTGTGTTGGCAACAATTTCCAAAATGGCGTCTCAGCGTGACTATCTTGCCAGTGCCTGCGCCCCAACCTGCCCCGTTACTCACATATGCAACCAAATACATGTTTACCCCGGGCGAAATATCGTTTCTTTTTATAAAAAAAATAATTTTTTTTTGTCTGCTGCACAACTGCAAAAAAAAACGGAGCCAGAGCCATGGACAAAGTCAGAGCCAGAGCCGGAGCCCGTGGCATTGTAAGCGCAGAGCGGAGCAGGTCAATGATACCAAAAGTTAACCCATACCAGCAGCGTCTGCGTCGCACTTGAGCAATTTTCACAACAACAAAAAAGAAGGAAAATAAAATAAAGCACAAACAAAAACGAACTGAACTGGCCGCACCCTTTGGGCAAAGCCACTCACACCCACACCCACAGCCAGCCGTTGCCAGAGCCAGAGCCAACTCCACAATCAGCGCCAGTGTCAAGTTTACGCTATACACACACACACACACACACACACACACACACACACAAGCAGATCTGGTCATGAACTCCATTCTCCATTTTCAATGGCAGCCATAGGAGTCACCGCAGAGCCCCAGCACACACAAAAGCTCTTTTATCTTTCGCATGTTTAATTTGTGCAGTGGAAAGCGTGTGAGCGGGAGCGAGAAGAAGAACAGCACAAAGTGAAAGACAAAAACAAAAAACGAAAAAAGAACAAAACGAATGCAGCGACTAAGCAGCTAACTATCTACATAGCTGTCATGTTGCCTCCCACTTGGCCTGCCCACACCGTTCGCTGCGCCTCTAAATGCAGCGCGACGCCTTATGCATCATTTATTGTACTCCCTCCTGTCCATACTCTTTCGTATTTATCTTTTTCCTGTGCGGCAGCGGCATCGGCATCGGCAGCGGCAGCGACAGCAACATCAGCAGCAGCAGCACCAACAAAAACATCATGCCACGCCACAACTTGAACAACGCGGTGAAGGTCATTGCTACCAAAATTGTGTCTCCCTTTTGTCCTACTCTACTCTTGACTCAATTCGACTCGCATTCTCATTCGCAGCGCTGCAGAGCCGAGCAAAAAACACCAACACAACAGCACACCAGCACACACCGACACGCGCCCACACTTACATGCCTGTCTGTGTAAGTGTGTGATTGTGTTGGTGCACATTTCTGCATTTAATCGTTAGCAACGACGACTAAAACATTTGCACATCCGCCACATGCAATGCGGAGCAACAGCGTTGCCAGACTGCGCCAATTTAACTAGAAACTTCTAATACATAGAATTGCAAACAATTCTGATTGCAGTGGCAACACTTGCCGCGTATATTACAACATCCAGCGGGAGAGTCCGACTCAAAATAAAATGCAAAAAAAAAGTAAAGGAAAGAAAAGCAAAACTCGTTCGCTCGGTTCGACCCGTTCCGCTCCCGTGCCAAAAGCAAACTGTGTCTGTGTCACTCAACCCACTAAACTTGCACACAATGCGCCGACAACAACGACGACGGCAACGGCGACGGCGACAGCGACAGCGACGCTGGCGTTGGGAATGCTGACGACGACGACGACGAAGTCGTACTCGAACTGTGCTGGCGCATTCGTGTGTAGCCGGGCTGCGTCGCGWCGCGTCGCTGCCTGCTCCTGCTCCATGTGCTTGCTGTTGTTGTTATTGCTGTTCTTGTTGTTCTTGTTCAATTGCATGCGCCTCTCTGCCCTGCTCTTGCTCTCTTCCACATGCTTTTGTCGCTATTTGCTGTTGACTCTATGCGCTCTTTTCCTTCGCTGCCGTTGCCGTTGCCGTTGCTGGCGTTGCTTTACGCTGCTGGGTTCAATGTCTGGTGGTTGACCTACCCGTACCAGATTTTTCTACAGGACGTTTTTCGCTGCTGCTGTCGTAGCTGCTGCTGCGCTGCTGCATTTTGCGCATTTGCTGTTTGTTGACTCATTTCCCCCACACGCCAAAAATGCACGACAAGTGAAAACTAAAAACAAAAAAAAAAAGAAAATTTGTGCAATGTTGTGTCGTCTGTCGCCTGCAAAGTAAAAGTTGTGCAACTGAGTTAGTTTGCGCTGCTCGAGGGGGAGGGAGGGTGGTCCGCTATTCGCTATTCAGTCGCCTGCTTTAGTTGTGTGACAGCTGAAATTACACAACGACGCATCGTAGTAGTTGTTGTTGTTGCAGTTGTTGTTGGCAACTGTTTGGCCAGACAATTGCTCATAAACATTTATGGCCAATAGCTGATTGGCTTATCTATGCGTCAACTCGACTGTCAGCAATGATGCATCAAGCGCTCTTCCCTTGACTGTGGGCATGGCATTAGCCCAAGATATTGCATATGCCACACACACACACACATACACACTCAAACATATTCAAGTCAGTTTATGCAACTAGCTTTGCCCGCTGACGTTAGTCCAACTGGTTTTCCACTTGTAATTTCACTCGCTTGGCCAGTTTTCCACAAATGTTGCCTCCACCTGGTCGGTGGCAAGAAAAACCAAGAAACCGCGATGGAAACTATTAGAAGATTCAAGGCTAAGGCTGCACGTCTAAGGCTAAGGTCATTGCCATGCAAGAGCTGTGCGAAAAATATACCCTGTAAAGCATGAACTTGCTGAAAGGGGTTTTGCAGTTGTTTATGTATAAATTTTAGTATTATTATTTTTTTATTACTATTTAATTTTTAGACATAAGTTTAATTTTTGGGATATACATAAGGCTGCACGTCTAAGGCTAAGGTCATTGCCATGCAAGAGCTGTGCGAAAAATATACCCTGTAAAGCATGAACTTGCTGAAAGGGGTTTTGCAGTTGTTTATGTATAAATTTTAGTAT